TCAACATGAAGCATATTCAACCAGAGGTATGACTGTACCAGAATTAATTAAAAATTTTTTTTGTAGTATTTCAGTGCATACAGCTAAATTTGTCAAAATCTGAAATAGTACTAGCGGCCAATTTTAGATCACCTGCTTTGCACACTAATTGGTGATTTTGTTGGTACCCAGAGGTCTCTACATATTTAACACATTTCTCTCTGAACATAATGTACTTGCTGATATCTGGTGGTGGTTTTAATTTCCCAGACATCCGCTTATATCATAAGGTGCGTTCGTTAGCATGGAAAAATGATTGGCAAATTTATCTTTCTATGAATACCCCCAGCATGGGCAATTTTAGAGATGGGTTGTTAGCAACAACTCTCTTTGGATGGCTAGTGAGAATGCAATGGAAAGAATGCAATGAAAACCATCCGTTTTAGCAGCTATAGAGATACGGTGCCTATTGGCTTGTCAGTTACAATTTGATCCATAGGCAATTAAAACACAAGATAATTAGAAACAGTTAAAAATAAATACACACATGATTTAAAGCAAGACTAAAAGAAAGTAGAGACTCATCGAAGTCCCTGAACACCAAAAGGCTTTTACCCTGGCTCAATGTCATGCCATCCCCTCAGCCATTATTGAAGGCCGATACAGGAAGATTGACTACCTGGATAGACAATGCCCATGTGACCCGGGACAAATAGAAACGGTAGATCATGTCCTTCTCTAATGCCTGTATTACAGAGACATTCATACTAGCCTGATTTCCCCACTACTTCAAAAGTACCCAGTGTGCACAGGACAATTTTACACCTCCCTGCTGCTCTCCTGCTGCAACGTATAGTGTTGCTAGGTTCTGCACAGCAGTGCTCAAGAATCGTAGGAGGATGACTTGTGCCACAAATCAGTTTTAATGAACATATCAGAGTGCTCTGTAAATGATAGTTAAACCCTTATATATCAACCTTTTGTGCTCTTCCACACCAGCCCAATGTTCCTGAACCTTTTTTTGAATTGTTTTAGCTTCTTTTAAATTCTTACAGACTTCTATATTCACCTAGTGTTTTAATACCTTTTAGCTTTCTAAAGCGCTTTTTAGATTTCAAATGCTGGTCTATGACCGTAATAAAGATTTGTTGAGTAGAGGCTCATGGTAAACACCAATTTATCAGGTTATGAAAGCCCACAGAGCAGAAATGTCGTATCTCAATAGGAATGCTATTCCACAGAACAGGGTAAAGGACTTCTGGGGAAAAAATTATAATGAATTTTAAAAAATGATGAAATATACATTTATTAAGAAACCAGAGGCCTTTCTCCTTGGGATAGTTGGTACTGAACTGCCCAAAAAAGATGTGAAAGTATTTTTGTATGCCACAACAGCTGCTAGGATTTTACTAGGCAGTAAATGGAAAACACAAGAATTACCAACGGTAGAAGAATGGCAGATGAAGATGATGGAATTTATGGAGCTGGCGGACCTCACCGGGAGAATCCGCGACCAGAAAGAAGAGGATCACCAAGAAGATTGGAAGAAATTTAAAGACTATTTGAATAAATATTCTAACGTTAGAGATATGTAACCACTTGAAAGAACCAATTAGGCCTAGGACAAAATTAGATTTATATGTATAAATAAGAAAATGCACTATAAGAAAGGTAAAGAAAGTGGAATATGACTGTAATATTGTTTTATGAAATAATGATATTGGAAACTGCTACATTCAATTTAAGATGAAATTCAGATGGAGGAGATTAGAGGAAGTCAACTAAAATGTTTAAGAAAATGGATTTTAATTAATTAATTGATTTTTTTCTCTGTTTAGGTATGTCAAGTCTGTTATTCTTTTTTCTTTTTTATTTCTATACTGTTGTTGTTATGTTGTTGTGTTGTATATTCTTTTTTTGTGTTATGTCTATTGAAAACTAATAAATATTATTGTAAAAAAAGAAGAAGAAGAAGAAGAACAGTGGCAGCCACGTGAAAAACTCTGCTCTGAGTTGCTATGGAGTGGGCTTCTGAGATCTCTGGAACTTACAGGAGAAACTCTCCTGCAAACTGCCATGAACTACAGGGTGTTGATCTACTGGGAGTGATATGAAGGTTTCTCAAATGTCTGGTTCTTGAACTGTGACAGTGTTGGAAGCATCCCCAATACTTCTGATAGCCCCTGGGATTCCCTCTTAGGAACCATAGGATTGCTGGCTCAAACGCTTCTTATGTACATTCCACCATCACCACAGCTTTCGACACTTCCCATTAAAAGGTAACCCATTCCCTCCATCTGTGATGCATGCAAGGCTACTACTGTCCCAACACGTTGAGAGATAGCCCCAAATGCCGCAAGAAAAACATCAGAGAGACATGTAAGGCCAACAACTGACTTTTGGACGCAGGATGAAAAGGAAAAAGCTATGGTTCTTGACTTGAAGCCTTTTTTTGGGGGGGGTTAAATAACATAACAACACGAATATAAATCATTAAGAGTGCAGCTGTTAATTATGTGATAATTTTGGAAAAAAGGAATGCAATAGAAATAAATAAGAATATGAAACACAGTAATATTAGATCATAAGGGTCCATCAAGAATGGTGCACGGGAAGCCTCTTAACAAAATTGTATTAATTTGGAACTAATTTGTGTAATTGGATTTATATCAGAAAATCAATAGCAATAATTGGCAGGACAACACATTGCTTTCATACCTGCGCGTCCATTAAGAGGTGTCTCATGAGCGCCATGGAGTTCTTCAGTGTGTCTTTCTCGTTAGGCAGGAAAGTGTTGTCATCTTCACTGAGCGCTTTGGCCTTGTTCATGATGAAGTCTGAGATCTGGTCGTTCAAGGTGTGTAGCGACTGCACAGCTAAGGAGAAAGGACAAAAGGGGAGCTCCTGAGACTAGGGGTGGCTGATCAGGGACAATGCAGTCCAAAAGTAACTGAAGTATCTGAGGTTGAAAAGCACTGCCGTGAATAATACTGAGTTAGATGGTGGAATGGTCTAACTCGGTACAAGGCAGCTATCTATTAAACCATCCCTTTATTCAGAACCACGAGACTGGGAAATATTACTTTATTGATGGGTTGGGAGGTGGACAAACTGTTTAATTATCTGTTCCAGGGCCTCATCTGGAGTTGATGTCAAGTGGACAGGTTGGTTGCGGCCCAGGTTCCCTCAGCAACCCCCCCTTTTTTGAAGAAGAAGAGGATGGCCATTGCCCATAATGGGTCCTCATCTGTTCTCCAAGAACCCTCAAAGATTATAGACAGCGGCTCTGAGATTTCATTTCATTGTATGCAGTTCATTAGGATATACAGTGGTACCTCAGGTTACATACGCTTCAGGTTACAGACTCCGCTAACCCAAAAATAGTGCTTCAGGTTAAGAACTTTGCTTCAGGATGAAAACAGCGGCGTGGCGGCAACAGGAGGCCCCATTAGCTAAAGTGGTGCTTCAGGTTAAGAATAGTTTCAGGTTAAGAACGGACCTCCGGAACGAATTAAGTACTTAACCCGAGGTACCACTGTAGAGACAACTGAAACCACAAGTCATTCCCTCCAGCTGGTTCCTTGTTGGTTTTTCCTGCCTATCACCAGGTTCCTCTACCACCACCCCAGTTTCCTGTGCACCCCAGTATTTGCTGCCCCTTATACTCTCCATGTCCCCCCTGTCCTACTATTCTGTTGTTTTTCTTGTTTGGGAGAGTGCCTACTAAAAGCATGGGTGTGTGGGCTCCTGTAGATGCCGTCTTATCAGGAGGTCCATTTGGTATGGTTTAGCAGCGGTTGGGAACAGTCGATCGTCCTGATGCCAATGAACAGCAACTCCCATCAGCCCTGGCAAGTATGGCCAAGAGCAAGGGATGATGGGAGTTGGAGTTCAGCAACATCTGGAGGACCAAAGGCTCCCCACACCTGCAGTATTGGGATTGGGTCTTTAGCATGGTGGCACTTACTATCAGGAATGCCATTCCATATCAGAGAGGTGCCAGTTGGCACCTATTGAAGTCCTTCCTTTTTTGACAAGCTTCATCTTAGCCTGCATTCATACTGGATTTTCAAGTCTTTTTTTTTTTTTTGCATATGACATTTTTCATTGTTTTTAATACATGGAATTTCTTTTTCCCGCAATTATTGTTTTCTTTTATTATTGTTTTTGCACATATGGAACTGCTTTCCCCCCATATGGAATTGTTTTTCATTGTTGATGCTTTGCTGTGAAATCGCTTTGAGATATTGTATGGGAAGTGATTCATAAGTGGAATAAAACAAATAAACAGACAGACTTGTGGAGGGCATCATATCACTAAGCAGCATTTTTTGTTTGTTTCTCACCACTGATTTATGTATCTGTAGTGGTAAAAAGGAAAACACTTCTGTCCACCTGAAACTGAACTTTAAAAGATTAAAATGAATTAAAATTCAAAGATTTTAAGGCAATATTCATAAAATTTATACAACTGGCTTACTAAGAAGGAAAATGTTCTGCAATACACTACTCAATCAAAGCATGAAGCATCCTAAGAGGTTTAAATAGAGCAGGGGAGACATGATTTGGAATTATGAGCCTGAGAAATATACAGTCTGAGCATACACAGAGTGCATCTGCCTCCCCTGTGAGGAATCTCTGTTTGTATTTAATGATTCCACAACAATAACTTCAGCCTGAAATATAAACTTGCTGACTTGTGTCTCTTGCTAGTCCTACTCAGAGTAGACCCATTGAAATGAATGAGCATGACTAATATAGGTGGTTCATGGTGCAATGGGTCTATCCTGAGTAGTGCTAGCACTGGGCACAACAGTATCACTGCTATTCTTTTACCAAAATGTCAAGAGCAGCCCCCCCCCCCAAATAAGTGGTTCTAGCACAAACAGATAACAATCACAGCAATGTTAAGGGAAAACAGCCAGTGTTTTGTGTGTCCTAGTTCACTGGAGCCTAGAGTAGTTCAAGTCCAAGTTTTACAAAAATGTTACAAGGCATGCAGCATCCATTGCTCACCAATAAGAAATACATGTCTCAGCATGACAGGAAGGAAGGAAGGAAGGAAGGAAGGAAGGAAGGAAGGAAGGAAAAGAGAAAGCCACTTTCTTTCCTTCCTTCCTTCCTTCCTTCCTTCCTTCCTTCCTTCCTTCCTTCCTTCCTTCCTTCCTTCCTTCCCTTCCCTTCCCCTCTCCTCCCCTCTTAGCACAATTATCCAATCTTATTAATTCCACCAGCTTTTATTGAGGGTGAAGAGCTACAGGAAAGGTGGCAATTTTTTTAAAAAAAAACCACACAATTTGTCACACCAATCATCCCCATGGCTTGAACTCTAGGATGAGAGAGGGACAACAGCAAGAAGAAAACAGAGAAATTGAGAGAGAAAGACTTTCATGCTAAAAGTGCCTTGACAAGCAGGAACCTGGTCCTGATGCACAAAAGTGAGATCTGCATCCGATGAATGCTATGTGCATTGATTCAGCAACACTCCCGGCACCCGCCAACCCCTTTATGTTAAATCTGACTTGAGAGATATCCTCAAGATATGAGGGAATCCTGCCCTCATCTGGACAAGGAAATAATGTTCCACAAATATCCTAGCACTCAGGAGCTCTCACATACCGTTTTCCTCCATAGCCAATGTCTAATTATGTTGTCAACTCCCCATGGAATTTAGAATGGACAAATCGGTCTATGTATAGCTCATCTCATTTTCACAAGTCATAAGTGCATTCTGCTCAGATATTTAAATATACATTTCTGTGTAGAGATGGGGGAGAAATCTGGCTCCTTTCAGGTTTCACACTTCCCAAAACAAAGCTCAAACTGAAACGCAGCCGTCCTTCGAAATTCACACTTTTCACAGTGCTTTAACCAAATGTGCATATTCTGTGAAGGTGTGCATAGCATATAAATGCAATCTAAATATAAATGCACCGAATTAGGGGGGAAATGGATTGCCAAACATGCACATTGAGCAAAACTGAATTCAGAAACGTGTGCGTTCGTCCTAAAATGCTGGGTAATTTTTTATGGCAATCTGGAAACTTATGCGGAAACACAGAGAACTGAAATCAAGATCAGAAAGATGAGAAATTGTGATAAAGCAAAGCGGACCGATTTGTTGGTGCCTGTTTTAAGCCTCCACTGGGAATCTGGAGCTCAGAATCCTTAGTCCAGACTCAAGCTCAGGCAAACACAGACATTGGAGAGGAAATAATGTCAATGGGACCCCAAGGAGGTGGGTTGGGTAGAGTTCTGGACATGCAACATGGAAGTAAAGGTTAAAAAAAGGTAAAGGACCTCTGGACGGTTAAGTCCAGTCAAAGGCGACTATGGTGTGGCGGCGCTCATCTCGCTTTCAGGCCAAAGGAGCCAGCGTTTGCCCACAGACAGCTTTCCAGGTCATGTGGCCAGCATGACTAAAACCGCTTCTGGCACAACAGGGCACCGTGACAGAAACCAGAGCACACAGAAACACTGTTTACCTTCCTGCCACAGCAGTACCTATTTATCTACTTGCACTGGCGTGCTTTTGAATTGCTAGGTTGGCAGGAGCTGGGACAGAGCAACGGGAGCTCACCACCATCAAGAGGATTCGAACTACAGACCTTCCGATCGGCAAGCCCAAGTGGCTCAGGGGTTTAGACCACAGCGTCACCTGCATCCATGGAAGTACCAGGGAGCTGCTTGAAGCACCTGGATATGCCAAGGATTGGGACGTCCCTGCCTTGGTTCTTCTAGCAACACTTTGCTCCATTTTGCTTCTGTTCACTGACCCTCTGGAAAAGGAGGCTTGATGCAATTTCTTCCTTTCTTTGTTTAAAAAGAATGTTTTTTTTTTTCTTTTGGCCAGTACAATCCAGCAGCTCATATAGTCAGTGGGATGATACCGCAGTTACCTGATGACAAGGATCTTCTGCTACATGTGACCACGTTGTTGTTGTTGTTTAGTCATTTAGTTGTGTCCGACTCTTCATGACCCCATGGACCAGAGCACGCTAGGCACTCCTGTCTTCCACTGCCTCCCGCAGTTTGGTCAGACTCATGTTTGTGGCTTCGAGAACACTGTCCAACCATCTCGTCCTCTGTCGTCCCCTTCTCCTTGTGCCCTCCATCTTTCCCAACATCAGGGTCTTTTCCAGGGAGTCTTCTCTTCTCATGAGGTGGCCAAAGTATTGGAGCCTCAGCTTCACGATCTGTCCTTCCAGTGAGCACTCAGGGCTGATTTCCTTAAGAATGGATGTGACCACACCTGACAGCGAAATTAGAATGAGGGCAATACTTTCTACCCATACTTAGAATAGGAAAATATTTGGCCCCCTTTTGCGTAACCTTTGCACCATTTTTCTCCCCGCAGTCTACCCTGACTGGCAGTGGATTTCCAGGGCTTCAGGGAGGTGTCTCTCCCAGCCATACCTGGACATGCCAAGGATTGGGACCTTCTGCATGCAAAGCAGATGCTCTACCAGTGAGTAACACTCCTGCTGGAACTGTGCTTCCCGCATTCAGATAATAAAGAAAAATATGCATTTAAAATATGAAGCTTTGGGCTTTCACAACGTTATCACTCATTTCCCTTTCAAAATGAATTATACACCTTTCATCTCAAAGCCTGTGCTATGGAAGGAGAGGGTAGCCAGCGGTCGATAGTTTGCTAATGGAGCATCAGCTTAAAATTACTCCTGTCCCTCTTGGAGAAACGAAGCTTTTAACAATTGCCCATTAGGGTCGTTAGCAGCGGTAATATTGCACATTGTTGGCTTGCATAATTTTCTGTGAGAATTGCTAATTTGGGACCCAAGCGGCAGATTTTTTTGATTTTTTTTTTTAAAGAAAGAATTAATTATGGGGTTAATGTGGCTTTTCCGTAAGTCAACTCTCACTCTCCATTGATAAGAGACAGGCATAGGCAATCCATCTGCTCCGTATAGAAGCTTTTTTGCTTGCCAACTAATATCCATCAGTTTCCACCACCAAAACAAAACTCTGTGATGTATAAATAATAAGGGATTAAGCAAACCTAAGACGGCTGCTGTGGGAGGCTTATCTTCCCCTCCCTTCCCGCTTTAAAGAGCTTTTCTTGTACACAAGCATAAGCATTGAGGGAGATGAAAATGCAAACTTATATTTGCTTTCACAGAACATTCTCCGGCTCCAAGTTTCAATCTTTTTGTAGAGAGCTTTTACCAGCGGGTCCCAGGTTACAACAATTCAGAATTCAGAATTAAAAGCAGAATTAAAACTGATTACAGTCACAGGAATAGGGTGGGCCCTGAAAAATCTGCATCTCAGGTGTTAAATGCCAAGGGTACTGGAATTGTTTTTCTGTTTGTGTGTTTGCCACTCTGGGCTTCTCAGGAAGGCGACCAATTTGGATGGCTTTAAAAGTGGATTAGACCCATGAAGGGTGTTGCTATCCATGGCTACTAGCCACAATAACTACTGCTCCACATCCACTGCAAGTTTCTTGGAATCTTGGGTGGGGAGAAGAAGAAGAGGAATAATAATAATAATAATAATAATAATAATAATAATAATTTATTTATACCCCACTACCCCACCCATCTGGCTGGGCTTCCTCAGCCACTCTGGGAGGCTTCCAACAAAATATTAAAATACCGTAATGCATCAAACATTAAAAGCTTCCCTAAACAGGGCTGCCTTCAGATGTCTTCTAAAAAGTCTGGTAGTTGTTGTTCTCTTTGACATCTGGTGGGATTGCGTTCCACAGGGAGGGTGCCACTACTGAGAAGGCCTTCTGCCTGGTTCCCTTGACTTCTTGCAGTGAGGGAACCGCCAGAAGGCCCTCGCCGCTGGACCTCAGAAGAAGGAGAATAAAAAGAAGAAGAGTTTGGATTTGATATCCAGCTTTATCACTACCCGAAGGAGTCTCAAAGTGGCTAACAATCTCCTTTCCCTTCCTCCCCCACAACAAACACTCTGTGAGGTGAGTGAGGCTGAGAGACTTCAGAGAAGTGTGACTAGCCCAAGGTCACCCAGCAGCTGCATGTGGAGGGGCGGGGAATCAAACCCAGTTCACCAGATTACGAGTCCACTGCTCTTAACCACTACACCACACTGGGAGAGAAATGTTGTGCTCGTGTCCAGCTTCTGGGCTTCTCAAGGGCAGTTGGTTGGCCCCTGTGAGAACAGAAAGATGGACCAAAAGAAATGTTGGCCTCACCCAACAGATTCATTTCATGTTCTTAGGTAAGGGTGGGATAAAAATTTCATAAATAGCAATAAATCATAATAAATAATCCACCTGTTTCCAATGTTCAGGGGTAAGTGTTGCTGCTTATGTCGCCAAAACAGCACCATTCACACACCTCTCAACCATTCCAATTTGAGCAGGACATCCCAGAATTATGGAAGTTGTTCCGGGATCCCAGAATGCCCTGTCTTTTGGGCTCTCACTCTCGCGAGAGCTCATGAACAAAAAAATGAGCTTTCCAATTTTGATCTGCAGGTTGTTGGAGGATATGCATTCACACACGGGACTAGAGGGAGGTATCAGCAGTGTTAGGGAAGCCACAAGGTGTTTAGAAGTAAAAGCTTATTTGGGGTTAGGGGAATACTAAAGGGGGGGATCTCCTCCCCTAAACAGCCCATTGAGGACAGAGGTTGCTCAGCAGCCGCTGAACGCTGATTGACTCTTGGGGTAGTGGAGGAGGAAGAAGAGAGGGAAAAGAAGGTGGGAGAGGGAATGGAGTATCCAGGATTAAGGTACGTCTGCCTCCACTGGAACTCTAGACCGGAGGACTCCTAGGCTGCAACCTTTCCAGTTCCTACTTTTAGTCCCACTGAATTCTCTTCCCTTCCTTAGAAGGGAAGCAAGTCCCAACACTGCATAGGCTGAAAAGTTGTCCTTTCCACCCCACAAAACCTACCCTAATTAAATCTAGTTTATTTCTGCAGTCTAAAATCCCAGCCGCTTTTGATGTCTTACAACTGTTTTGACAATCTCATAGAATCATAAAGTTGGAAGGAACCACGAGGGTCACCTAGTCCAGAACTCCATGAGGGTCATCTAGCCCCACCATGGGCCTCGAACCCACAACTCTGAGATCAAGAGTCTTATGCTCTACCAACTGAGCTATCCCATTCGGAAGGTATTATATTGACTCTGTATTACATTGTGTGTGTGTGTGTGTGTGTGTGTGTGTGTGTGTGTATTCCACTTTTAATTCTGGTCTATCATTTAGTTGTCCTGCATGTTGCATTTCTGTATTTTCTTTTCAGTGACAGGTGAATTTGGCTTTTATTGGAGATGGCAAGCCACTTTGCCAAAGTAGCTCCTCAAAAAGCAGAGTGTATATTTTGAAATAAGCAAATAAATAAATAACCATTTTGCTACAGATTCTATAATACTGTATTAATGAAAGAACACATGAATGTTAAAGAATGCATAGCAAAATTTTCTGTACATATTGGATGCCCTGTGAATATATACAAATTTGAAATTAACATTGGACCACTTTGAGATCCAGCACTGATGCCTTAAAACCAGGCATAGGCAAACTCTGGCCCTCCAGATGTTTGGGACTACAGTTCCCATCATCCCTAGCTAACAGGACCAGTGGTCAGAGATGATGGGAATTGTAGTCCCTAACATCTGGAGGGCCAAAGTTTGCCTATGCCTGTCTTAAAACACACACACACACACACACACACACACACACACACACACCTCTATACTTGTCAGAGAGCTGTCAGATGTTTCAGAAACAGCAATCATAAAGTCAGGTACTCTGCCCAATAAAATGAGGAAAAGCAAGCTGATTTTCAGTGCTCTCTCTTCTCTGCCCCCAGTGCTCCCCCCCCCATCACTTTAAGTTATTTATATGGCTTTCCTCTGTACTTCCAGAGAGGAAAATGTCTCAGCTGGTGATAGATTGAAGCTGCTTCGGAGGTCACAGTCTGTCAGATTCTCCTTCTGCAAAAGTTGATCTGGCCTTTTGTGCAATGAACTTGGAGCAGCTTTTCCTATCTCCCTGCCACTTGGGCAGCAAAATTAATTTACTGGGAGGGAGGACGTGGAGAATCTGTCAGTGTTGCTGTGTCCTTCCTTCTCAGTGGGGTGTCTGGGGCTCTCTTCAACAGGTCTCTCAGACTTCTTTATGCAGAATTTGTCCTAATTTGCTTGCACAAAGCTTATGAGGCGATTGGAATATTATTGCCTTTTAAAAATGAGAATGGGGCAGCTCTTCCTCCCTCCCTCCCTCCCTCGCCTGCCCTATTCTCTTGACTGGAATTAAAAGCAATTAAAAGCAACAGAAATTATAGGAAGGCACCCATGGCAGGGAATGGGTGTTTATGGTGAATGTTCTGGTGTTTATGGTGAATGCTGTACCTCTAAGTCTGAAGCAATAAATGTTCTGGATTCTCCATCCCCTTAGAAACATGTGGTTCATGTGCATTTTTGTCCTGCAATAGTCAGAGTCCATATGTTCTATAATAGCACAAGGAGAAATGCAGAGTTTTCAAGGTTTTCCATTGCTGGGCTATTGGAATCCTAGCTGCAGCTGACATCCATATCAAAAGCTCATTAGAGCAACTAGTTTCCAAGCTGTCCATCCACTTACACAGAAAAGACAGTTGTGGTTAAATCGGAACAGGTTATTTAATTATTTTAGACATTGATTCCCATATTTCCAATCTTAAATTCACCATAACTCATTACTACATCAGTTTGTGCATTATTTATTAAACAGTCCTTGTGAAAATTCAGCAGCATTTTAGTACGAACTCACATACACATTTTTTAATGCAATCTTGCCCAATATAATGCATTTCTGCATATTGCTTTCACTTACATTTGCAATTTTTGCACATGCTTTAACCATTGCGTGCCTGGAGAACTGCATGGCAAAATTCAGAGAAGCGCAGCTGTTTGAAGGACGGCTGCATTTTGGGTTGCATATTGATTCAGAAAGTGTGAATGGGGAAGGTTGAACCTCAAACGCAAAAGTTAAATTGAATTTCTCTGGCCTTTCTATATGAGCCAGAAAAAAGTAACGGAATGAAACAAGAGAAAATCCCTCCATCCCTGCCTTAGCTGCCCTTTCAATAAGTTTAAAAGGCAAAGGCTCTTAGATCAGCCTTGCATTTTCAGAGGACAGAGCTTGACTTATACCTCTAGAAATAGCTGTTATTCCTCTCGGTAATGCTCTACTTGGTTTCGGGCCCTGCTTCGCCACTGCTGCCGCCGCCACCGTGACCTAGCAGGATGCTGTCTTTATGTCTCTGACACTCTGCATTGCCCTTGGTTGTGCTTCAGCAAGCCTGTGCTATATTGAACACAAAAGCCATTGAAGCAGGAACGAAAGACTTCTCAATATCAAGGAAATTTTGGGTGGTTGCACCTCAAGCTAAGGCTTCTCTTCAATGGAATTTGCTTGCTGGATCTCTCTCTCTCTCTCTCTCTCTCTCTCTCACACACACACACACACACACACACACACACACACGGCTGCTCCCTCTGTTCTCTCCATTCCTCAACCCCACCTCCCCCTTTGCCAACCGCCCTTCCACCACACCTGACCACCAATTCCCTTCCTTCCCCCCCTTTAATAGGGTTGAAATATTTCAAAAAGTAAAATCCAGGACAAAAGATTGCCGGAGATCCAGGGCAAAGTGCCGCCTTTTGGAAATCCGCCCCCCCCCCCGACTTCAATTCTGCCTTTGAAATCTCGGTAACGTCTGGAAAAAGCAAGACGTATGGCAGCCCTGTCTTAAAATAGTATTTTATTGAGAAGCAGCAAAATCAGACAAATCAATACAATAAGAATAATAGAAATAAGCAGGGTACTTAAAAGACAATTGGGAAAGTCACATTTCACACTGTACCACAGAGAAGGAGTCCTGTATGTCTGTATTTGTTGTATATAAAATCGCACCAAACACCACAGAATTTTTCAAGTTCCTCCAAGTCTTTGGCAACATGTAACCCCACCCCCCACCCCTGCTAAACTCCACATATTTTCATACCAAAGCAAAAATTGCAAATCCTGTAAGGTGTTTCACTTTGGGGCAATTGAGATTCTGGCAACCATACCTAGAGTCCCTGAGAGCTGGAACCCTTCAGTTGATCATCCCATAGATTTAACAAACAAAGCTGTGGTGAAATTGGGGTGGAATGTTTTGGTTATTTCTTGACAAACCATCATCTAGAATTTGAACACCTGTGGGAATTTGAATAACTGTACTCCTCTGCTATAGGGGCACGGGTGGCGCTGTGGGTTAAACCACAAAGCCTAGGGCTTGCCGATCAGAAGGTCGGTGGTTCGAATCCCTGCAACAGGGTGAGCTCCCGTTGCTCAGTCCCTGCTCCTGCCAACCTAGCAGTTCGAAAGCATGTCAAAGTGCAAGTAGATAAATAGGTGCCGCTCCGACAGGAAGGTAAACGGCGTTTCCGTGTGCTGCTCTGGTTCGCCAGAAGCGGCATAGTCATGCTGGCCACATGACCCGGAAGCTGTACGCCGGCTCCCTCAGCCAATAAAGCGAGATGAGCACCGCAACCCCAGAGTCGGTCATGACTGGACCTAATGGTCAGAGGTCCCTTTACCCTTTACCTTTACTCCTCTGCTACCCATTTCCCTTACAGCTATTCAAAGTACAAGTTAGTGGGGCAGAACGCTCCGATTCAGCGATCCCTCTCCTTTTGTAAACTGCACCGTGAATCTCACACAGTGACCCTTCCTTGGTGACTGGAGTCACTATTTCATTTCAGATCCCCGCTGTTTGTGCATGATTGCCAGTTCAGGTGTTTAACAGTTTCTCACTGTGAATTCTCAGTGGCGATAAGAAGCTCTTGTTGTTTTGCCAGTTCTTCCTCTGGGAGACGAGTCCTCAAGTTTATATGGAAAGGCAAACATATAATTATGATCCTAATCAAATTTATGCAATATTATGAATAGGCAAACTTACACAGAGGCTCGATATTGATTTTTTTTTTTAAAAAAAAGCTCCTATAATCAAATTCAGAGCTGAGGTAATATTTCTGCCCTTGTAATCTTCCTGTCATTGGAGCAACCCCCACCTTGTTTTCCAAAAGAAGAGGGAAATGGTTTATGATCTGGGCATAATGGTATGTTGCTTTCATGATACATTTGCCCTCAGCTGTTTCAGGCGAAATCTGCCCTTGAATTCCAGGAGCCAAACTAGACAGTGCTTTAACTATGTAGCTAGAAACCTAGGAAGTTGCTTCATACTGAAGTGTATCATTTGTCCAACTACTGCATAATTGTCTATGCTGACTAATATTATCTCTCCAGGCATTCAGACAGGAGACATGCCCAGCTATTCACAGAAACAGAATAACAGAATCATAGAACTGTAGAGTTTGAAGGGAACCTAAGGGTCAGTTAGACCAATCCCCTGCAATGCAGGAATCTCAACTGAAATATACATGACAGATGACCACCCAATGTCTTCTTAAGAAACTTTCAGTCCACCATCTCTCGTGGGAGTCCGTTCCACTGTTGAGCAGCTCTTACTGCCATAAAGTTCTTCCTGATGTTTAGTCAGAATCTCTTTTTTCGTCACTTGAATTCATTGGTTCGGATCCTAGCCCCCTCGAGAAAACAAGCTTGCTCCATTCACCCTGTGGCAACCCTTTAGGTAGTTGAAGATGACTATCATATCACCTCTCAGTCTTCTCTTCTCCAGGCTAAACATATCAAACTCCCTCTACCGTTACTTATGAGACTTGGTTTCCAGAAGTTTTATCATCTAAGTCACCCACCTTTGCACACATCCCAGCATGTCAATAGCTTTAAATTGTGATGCCCAGAACTGGTAGAACCAGAACACAGTAGGCCAAGTGTGGTCTGACCAAGGCTGGAGCAACGACCAGGGCAGTTGCTTCTGTTGTTACTTCTGTTGATGCAGCATAGAAATTTTGTGAGGTTTTTTGTTTTTGTTTTTGCATCACTCTGTTGACTCATGTAAAGATTGTGGTCTATTAAGACTTCTCAGTCATTTTCACATGTACTACAGGCAATCCCAGGTGCCCCCCACCTTATATTTGTGCAACTAGTTCTTCCTCCTTAATTCTAGAACCTTACATTTGTCCCTATTGAAATTCGTTTTGTTAGCTCA